CCTGGCATTTAGCAACAGCAACCCGAGGCCAGGACCCTGACATCTCTTGCCACCTAGTCCTTGAGTTGAGCTATCAGGGCCGGAAGGAGGGATCGCTGTGACGTAGCGAACTCTCCTTCCCCGGTAACGGCTAGCCCTGTAACTCCCGTTGTACCTGCCTCTCCGTCCAGCGCCGTTTTAAACAATCCACCTCCTCTCTGCCAGCAATAACATTCCAATAGTCCGATATACTCCAGGGCCCCTCCCGGTCAGAAGAAAACAGGGCTAGGACTATGAAAGCCGCCAGAGACGGCGCCGTCAGCGTGTCGCTGCCATTTTTGCCCTTTTCGCCGCCGAACGCTGTAAAAATTGTTATGGGCGACAGGAAGCCACCTGATGGCGCCGACCCCCCAAATAGGTACCTGTCCGGGTCCGCTAAATTGCGCTCCACCACTAGGACCCCTTCCCGCATAGTCTCTGAACTAATTTACTAGTTTTTTGGTGTTTTTTTCGCTCACCCTGGCCGGAGCAGAAGAAGCTGGCGGCCATCCTACTTCGCACATGCACAGGAGGAATCTGATCTGCTCCTTCTAATTACATCACCATGTTCCTGCTGTGCCTTTAAACAAACAAACAAATAAAAAAGTAGGAACTATGTCACAAATAGATTGTCTAGTCAGAACCCTCAACAGTGCTTTCTTTTAAAAGTTTGCACTGTAAAAATCACAATTAGGTGCTAAGCCCAAGACAAACAAACTATATTGTGGCTTAATATAATGCATGAACCCAAACAAAGGGAGAGAGGAAGAAAAAGCTGTTGAAAAGTAAGGTTTATAGAAGTAACAGATTAAAATGTGCGCTTGATTATTACTGTCTTGCAGAGAAGACACTTAATAATCTATTATTAAAACAGAGGGTATTAGAAAAATAAAAGTACTTCCGAACTTTTTTCTTTAGGAATTAGAATAAAGTTTTAAGTGAGACAAACAGGTTCACAAACTTAAAATTGAAGAAATAGGCATCCCCAAATGTTTGTGCTTATAAGTATCCAGTTTGTTTACTTTATTTCCTTTTTCATCAGCATATTTTTAAAAATCCAAGATGAAGTCAATAATGTTGTTTTTAGTATTTTAAAAAAGAAACATCATAAGTTTGCTGTTTAGATTCAGATGTATATTGAGTCCTTCTTTATCCTTGCAGTAAGCTACAGTCCTTCATGCTGCAGCAACAAACCTTCCTAGAAAAATGTGAGACTTGGATGGAGTTCTTGGTTCAAACTGAGCAGAAACTGGCTGCAGAAATTTCAGGAAACTACCAGCTTCTTTTAGAACAGCAGAGGGCGCATGAGGCAAGTTATAAAGAGAGAATTCTTAAGCTACTGTATCAACTTCTTTTATTTATTGTCAGCGTGAACTGGAACTACACTAATAAGGATTGATTTGTTCAAACATATTTTGATCTCTGTTCATGATCACAGAGCATGACAGCTGGATTTTATGTAGGACATGGACGGACACTGACATCAGATGGTATAAAAATGAAACAAATAAAATGTTAAAAAGTTATATTTATATAGTTACATACCAAGCACATCTAAATTATATTAAAGTAAACCAAAATAACTTTACGATCCCGGAGGCATGTCACAACTTTTGAGCACCCCTAATATTTGGAAATTGAAAGTCCTAAAATTTTATCTGTGGCTGTAGAGATGGTTGTTTTTGACATTTGTTAGTTGTGAGATAAATGCAACCAATAATAGTAGGTTAGATATGCAAGAAATAACCCTGTAAATAAGGGGAAAGTAAATTATTGCTTCAGCCTGATATGAATGTAAACAACTAGAAGAAAGAGATTGATGGAGAGTTTCAGTCTATGAAAGAGTTAGACTTGGCCCATTGTCACTGATTCATATATCAGGGCTAAGAGGCAGGTGTTCCTCCACGAACTTAATTTTATTATAGAAGATTAAGACTTTTCAGTGTAATCGAACAACATTTAACTAAACAGATGAACTGCAAAACATTTGATAGCACGATCTAAAACTAAGTTGGGAGATTCTGTGATTAATTGAATACAAGAATTCTCCTAATTTGGGAAGATTAAATTTGGTTTCATTTTGGATAATAAATATAGGTCAGTAGACTTCAAAGGCTGGACATCAGACCCATTCTGACATTCATCTCAACATGTGGAAGCTTGTCAAAAAAAAAATAGGGGCCATTCACAAAGAGACTTATCATTGTAAAAAGATTAGTCTTCTCTCTCTGGATTTTTATCTCATTTACAAGAACTAAGCAAGAAGTAAATGAAGCTTATTCCCAACAGAAGTTCTAGAGAGCGTGCATGAAATATATCTATGAATGTTCAACCATGTAGAAAATTGGAAAAAAATATATTGTTCATAAATTACAAGCTTTTTTCCCTTTTTCATTTGGTGTTAATTATTTGGTTTTTTTCTGAATGTGTAAACAATTATATGTCTTCAATTTGATAAAGAAAAAGGGGAACTATTACATATTTGTAAATTACACATTTGCATCTGAATTACCTATGTGTCATATTTGCAAGATAAAATTTAACATGAATGTAGTCATATAAAAGCCATTTAAATGGACCACTTTCTTTTTTTCTATTAGGTTTTTAAAACTATACTGTAGACCAAATGAACCTATAATTAACTACTTTGCCTTTTTTAAAATGTCTAATTACTTATCCATCTAAAAATATCATACATCCTAATTGTATTGGAAAGGTTAAAAAGGTTAAACTTTTATTTTGGAATCAGATTTTGTTTTGTTGAGCTCATTTGGAATTCACTTTTAAAAACTTTTTGTTCTTTAGCTGTTCCAAGCAGAGATGTTTAGTCGGCAACAGATTTTACATTCTATCATCATGGATGGCCATAACCTTCTTGAGCAAGGGCAGGTAGATGACAGGTAAAATGTGTATTGTACAAAAATTCTGATTTTTCAAATGTTTCATGTTTGAAAACTTTGCCTTTTTATCTAATACGCATTTATTTTCTCCAAACTATTGGCACATTATAATAATGGGCTACTACTATTTGTGAGATTGCATTTTATATGACTGATATGACTAATAGAGTATTTGCTTTCTATTACATATTCTGCTTGTTCACCTCCAATCAATATAGATTTTAGCTGTAACCGCGGTTCCTTGTTGCCTTTATTTCATACATAAAAACTTGGATTGGCAGTACTGTTTTCCACAGGGGGGGGGGAATAACTATGGCAAACTTTTCATCAGACTATTACAAAGTTAATTTTAGAAGTTCTCAGTGAGAGTATTTCAAAGGCAAATGGATTTTACAATGCAGTAATAGAAATCAATGTAGCATAGTTAAGAGCCAAGGTGGCACAGTGGTTAAAGTGCAGTACTGCAGCCACTTCAGCTGACTGCTAGCTGCAGTTCGGCGGTTCAAATCTCACCGGCTCAAGGTCAACTCAGCCTTCCATCCTTCCGAGGTGGGTAAAATGAGGACCCGGATTGTTGTTGGGGGCAATATGCTGACTCTGTAAACCGCTTAGAGAGGGCTGAAAGCCCTATGAAGCGGTATATAAGTCTAACTATTGCTATTGCTATTGCATAGTTGTTAGCCATTTTTGCTGCTTTTGTTTGGCTCACTTTGTTTCTATACTAAACGCTTATGTTGTGTTTTTCCTTTTTTAAGGGATGAATTCAATTTAAAACTGGCATTGCTCAGTAATCAGTGGCAAGGGGTAATTCGTAGAGCCCAGCAGAGAAGGGGCATCATTGACAGTCAGATTCGTCAGTGGCAACGATACAGAGAAATGGCAGAGAAATTGCGCAAGTGGCTGGTGGAAGTGACTTGTCAATCAGCAAGTGGGCTGGGCACTGTTCCTATCCCATTGCAGAGAGCTAGAGCCCTACTGGATGAAATGCAGGTAACTATTGACAGACCATTTTCAACTAAATAGATTCTGTTATCACTTAATGGAACGAATTAGATATTTCACTGTACTTATTTAGTCAGGTATAACTGCAGTTATTAAGCAAAGTGAAGACTTTCTTAACAGAGCTTAACTCCGAATAGCCACACAATAGGCCTGCCTAATTTGTCTCCATGCCTCAAAGGGTATTTATGAAATGTCTGGTGGTTTTTCCCAGGAACACTTTAATATAACATCCTCAGTATACAACAGTGTTTGGATTTCCTAGACTGAATATGATCCTGGAAAAATGCCTTCATATCTTATGCTGCAGCATAATTAAAATTCTTACAAAGACCTGGTTTTTATGTAATATAATATTGAAGGGCTTTTTCTACCAAAAACCTCCTCTTTTTAACCTTCTAAACAGATAGTGGGGAAAGATCATAGGGTAGAGTTCATTAAGCAAGGGGTGAGGGGAGAAAGGAAAAGAACAAAAGAGGAAATATAAAGTACAAAAACAGCTGATGAAATACTTGCTCCAAGTATGTCTTTAAATATTAGTAGCCTGGGTTAGTTATGTTAGTTTGAACTCCAAGTTTGGCGATTTGGTTGCAAACGTTTCATCCCCATTTGAGGAGATATCTTCAGTGCGTTTTGGATTGTTTCATTATACTACTTACTTTTCATGCAGAAGTGATTATAATGGCAAAGTTTAATAGCAATAGCACTTAGACTTGTTTACCACTTCATAGTGCTTTCCAGCCCTCTCTAAGCGGTTTACAGAGCATATTGCTTCCAACAATTTTGGCTCCTCATTTTACCCACCTTGGAAGGATGGAAGGCTGAGTCAACCTTGAGCCTGGTGAGATTTGATCTGTCAAATTGCAGGTAGCCGCCTGTCAGCAGAAGTAGCCTGCAGTACTGCACTCTAACTACTGAACCACCATAGCTCTTAAAAGTCCTCCTTGGAGGAAAAACACTCTTCTTGTGATATTACTGACTGACTTATTTGACAATGAAATTAGAGTGATGTTTCGGGAATGTCTTTGGTCTTCCCAGCTCAAAGAGAAAGTGCTTCTTCGCCAACAAGGGAGCTACATTTTAACAGTGGAAGGTGGAAAACAGCTGTTACTCTGTGCTGATGGTGAGACAGAAGCATCTTTACAGAAGGAACTTACAGAAATCCAAGAGTGGTGGAAATTAGCAAACCTCAGACTTGAAGAACAGAAAAAGCAGCTCACCTTACTATTAAAAGTGGGTTCATTTAAATTAATCTTTAAAAATCAAATAAGACTACTACTTTGAAAAGCTGAATTACAAGGACATTGACCTTATTTGTTTTGATTCCATGTTACATGTAAATAGATAAAATTCTTAGATTGGTTCTATGTCCGTGATGGCGATTCTATGGCATGCGTGCCACAGGTGGCACGCAGAGCCATTTGTTAGGGCATGCGAGGCGCTGCCCTGTCTTTGCCCT